CTTATTCACCTTCAGTATTTAAATGTAATAACTTTAGAAGCAATTGAAAGCACTTACAGCATCAATTTAAAATACATACATATTATAATCATGTACGAGTACTATATAAGGAAAGACGAAAAGGAAAATCAAAAATCGCCGTCACTACTTTTTAAATGTAAATTGTAAAGAAGAATGTTCTTTGGTAGAGTAAAAGTTTTTAAATTAGTAACTTTTGCAACTTTTTTATGATACCCATAGACGGGACGACAAATAGCGCCAACACGCCTGTCCATAACAGATGCAGCGCCGCTCGGAGCTTTAAATCGCAAAGATCTGAAGGACACTGCCACTGCGCACCTGAGACATAAGTCGAAAAGTCCCACGTGCCTGTAATTTCATCAGCCCTTCAAAACCGAAACGCAGTAATGCCCACATTACTATTTGGCTTCAGAAATACGTAAGGTGGCAGTACTTCCTTGTACAAACTCCCTCACAAGGAGCTCCACTGCTTTAAAACAAAAATGTAGGTCAGAATGGAATTGGCATTAATATTAAACATAACAGGTTGATGACATTACAATATCAGTCGGCCGTGTACATGGAACCTAAGGGTCTATTTCCGTGAAACAAGTAATACCCGATCAAATCAAAACACACACAAGACACGTGCGAAGCTTCATTCGCATCATATGTCTTTTAAAAACATTTCACAGTAATTGTTTCGGGTGGATGTTGGAACGGTGAACGAGAGTGCACCCCAAAGGTCCGGAACATTAGTAGTTTGAAAAATCAATATACGCGATTTAAACAGGAAGAAAATTGTTTCATTTCCATTTGTAGTTACAAGAGTCGTCATAAATGTCAGCTTCGCGGAAAAAGAATTGCCATACGCCCAAAACAAATGCCTATAGATAAAAGTCAAAGCGCAACAGGCGACGTCCGCGCGTGGTACAAACTCGCAAACATATCACCAGACATGTTACTACCAGTTACTAATTATTGATAACGATAAATAATGATGTAGGGGAAAAACGTAATTGTGTTTTTGTTTTGACAGATGGGGAAGGAAGCTGAAATGTGTTATTTGCGTAAATAACCTCTAAGCTATTTGCGTATGAAAAATAAATCATATTTTCTTTTATGATACCAAGTACAGGGACGAACAAGTCGTGCGTCTGGTAGTAAGCGGCACGCCTGTCCATAACAATTGCAGTGCACTCAGAGCTTTAATTACAAAGATCCAAGGGGCACTGCCGCTGCACCCATCACACTGAGACATAAGTTGACAAGTCCTCTTACCCCTCAAAACCAGCAGCAGATTAAGATCCGCTACATACGCAGTCCGCAGAATACGTGTGCTTACTGATGTTAGTACTGCTAGACTAGTTTACTTTAGTTATTTCCATAGTATAATGTCCTACGGGATTCTCATGTGGGGTAAAGCGGCAGATATTCAAACCATATTTGTATTGCAAAAACGAGCGATTCGTTCTGTGTACCGTCTAGGCTCTCGGATTTCTCTCAGTGAAAAGTTTAAGGAGACTGGTGTCATGACTGTGGCATCACAGTACATTTACTCAAATATTTTATATGTCCGTAAAAATATACATAATTTCAATAAGAAAGAAGATATCCATAATATTAACCTGAGAGCTAAATCCAAACACATGTACCACGATTTCGTTTAACCAAGGTAAACAACTCTTTTATGGGGAACTGTATACGTTTTTACAATAAGATTCCGGAGCATATATTAAGTTTATCATTTCCTAAGTTTAAAAACTACATTAAAAATATTTTGATCGAAAAATCATATTACAAAATTGAAGACTACGTGTTAGATAAAGATGTATGGAAAGACGACACGGCTCCAGAATCCACACAAATTTGTTTCAAAGTGTATTCCATAGCATTTAAGTTTATTTGAAAAGAGAAATCCCTAGAGTTTCTTGTTCGTTCTTCTCAGGGAGGTCAACCAAACTTCTTTTGAATAATTCAATTTTTTTTTATTATTACATTTTACAATTATTGTCATTAATATGAACCCAAATAACTGCACAACTGTTAAATTACTGACTGATTTATTAAAACCATGTGTGTACGTCCATGTGATATTATTAAAAATATATGTTACACGGGGTTTAGTCTACAAAACTGTATGCGAGTAAATGTATACTTTGAATATTTTGTATGCCTAATATTTAGCCGGACAGTGTAACCATGCTTATTTTGTAGAATATACAGGCGGTACTTTTACAAATAAATGAATTATGAACTATAACATCACTCACCTTTCTCTGAACGAACTCTTTCACAAGAAGCTCTGCTACTCAATTAAAAATATAAGGGATTATTGGACATAATGATGACGTCACCGAATGCAGAAAAGTTCCTTTCGTGTTGTGGATACTCTTTGTATTTGGCAGATTATAATACAAGGTGACAGATAAAGTTCCACACACTCTTTTTCATTTCACTTCACATTTAATGACGTTTGTACCAATGTACGACATAAAAAGTACGAAATCAGCTAGCAGGTAGGTTCTGTGTAACCTTTACCATAAGAACTCCCCTGCAGCTGACCCAAATATTTTTTATGGGATATTTTGCGGTTGGCTGATGATGACCTTGATTGAACATCGAGCTGAAAATACTTGTGTATTATTATTGACAGCGCCTTTAGTCGGCACCGGCACAGACCTCCTACGCCTCAGCTCAGGATGTTACTAGACACTTCCGCCAGAATAGTGTGCTTTAAGAAAGATACACGTTGAACTAATGGCACATAATCTAAATTCGGTCACCATTCGATAGGAAATCACGATTAAGCGCTTGCGTAAAATGGGTCAGTGCCATCTAGTATCTTTTGAGAGAAGTATAAAATGCTTATAGTCGGTAATAACTGCCTAAAGCGTTGTAATAGGTGTGTTATGTAAAATGGTTGTTGTCCGTCATTCAACCGTAGCAACGGACACCTACAGAAGATGAAAACAATAGTTTAATTAGACTTTTTGCCTGTCTCGCTTTCTCTTTACATTCGCATTATATCTCTAAACACATTTGCTAATGAGAGTTTTAGTCATCAGCAAATTGATGATATGAAATTAAACGATACAAACAAACATGTTATTTCCAAATAGTAATTGTTTTTATGACAAGATCCCGGAACGCTATATGATAATATTGTTTGTTACACTTTTAAAGTAAATAATATTATGTTTGGAAATACGTAAAATACTTTACTTTGTTTAACGTTTTTTTCATAGGTTCAACGAAATTGATTGAGTGATAAGGTACCAATGGATGGTTCTCAGTTAAAACAATAATTTCCTACCGTTAACAAATAAAAGTCTACTTTTTACCTTTCGGGCGAGTGTAATACAGATCTAGTTGCTCTGTTCAGTCTGCACAAGCGAATTTAAAATTTAATATTAAAATATATTTAGCGTTAAAATCTGTTTCTATGTATTGAGAAATTATATATGAAATAATACTTTTTATTGCAGTTTCTGTGTTTGTTTTAAAGGTTATCTAATTACAGAAGTTATTAAAGAGACAATCATATATTTTTAGATAGAAATATGTAATGCGGCGTATACTTAACTGAGCGAATGAAGTTGAAAACGGGAACCAAAAGAAGGAATAGGTTCTGTGAGCTGATTATCATTTCCGGCTGGATTTATAATTGCAGTTATCATGCTCTAGCGCTGTTCTCCGCCGACATTCGGCATTCGACATCCGTCCGAAACAATTACTGTGAAATAAGTAACATTCGGCCAAATGAAACGACGCATTATGCAAATGAAGCCTCGTACTTGACATGGTGTTTTAGTTTCGGACGGATATCAGACAGAGAACGAGAATACACAGACCCTCAGGGACACAAGGGGTTGAGGTGAATGACGTGTGGAGGAAGACGCTTATATCCAATAGTGAGTGATTGTGGGCTGAGATATGTAGATATAGATTCGACCTCGGTGGCCCATAGGTTTGCACCGTGGCGGTATATGTGGAGGTCCCAAGTTTGGTTTCGGATAGGACCAATTTGGGATATGAACTTTTATAAATGTTTTACGGTCTGAGTTGTCTGGGTACTGCCCCGGAATGACGTTACTCTGGTACTCATAGTACAGAAAATTTGAGACCAGGTATTACTGTCTAGCAAACCCAAAGCTGCCTCGCCCAACGTATTAGCATAGCAAAACAAAAGAATACGCTGCCAGCATCTTGGGCACCGCCGCGGAGACCCAATTTTATTCATATAATTTACTTTCAGTTTTTGTTTCTAGTATTTAAGCTTTTATTGTACCAATGTATTTTAACTTATAGTCTAATAAAAAGATTCACTACCAGGCAATTGTTGTGGTTGTCATTGGAGACTCGCCTCTCCCATGGCTAATTTTGAATTTTTAAATGGGAGACGCGGTATTCGGCAATAACACAGTTATTCTTATTATTATCATCCTTTCTTAACTGCATTAGGTATCAAGTATCTATGTTCTGATTCCATTTGGATTGCTGTTTTCTCCCTAAAATAAGTAAGATGTTATTAAGTATGACAGTTTCGACAATACTTGATTTTGAACACGTGTAAAATAATGTTTACAAAAAATAAAACCTTCAATGTCAGCCTACTCGTAAAGTAAAAACATCCTAAAATTTTCCTTCTAGCGTCAATAATGTTGTAACGGAGAGAATTCCAATTTTTTTTTTGAATTCTCTCCGTGCGTCAGTGGCCTCTTTTTGGAAATTTAAATGCGATATTAAAGCCGAGGTCGAATTTTTTTATATGTAAAATTTTGGTAGGCATAAGTTTATTCAGAATCGCACCTGGTAAAAAGTGAGAAATATAGACAAGTGAAGCAAACATCATCAACCATTGTACAACCCACTGCTGGGCACGGGTCTTCTCTAAGCAGGGGATTTAGGCTGTCAGTGAGCGTTTTAATAATAATAATAATAAATCATTTATTTGGACATCTATGGCCCACTTGTTAGTAATACAAAAAGATACAGAACATTTAAACTTAAAGCTATTGTTAGTAGGTACAAATTACGGGACAATACATTGGCAAACACAAGAACACGTATATGCAACTTACTGCTCGAGGCGCCGATAACCTCATGATCTCACCAGAACCTGGATAAAATGTTGAAGCATCGGCGCATCAAGCTTAGCCGCAAACATTTTCAGAATGCTGTTAGGACTAGAACGCAGCCTCGAGAGTAGTGACGCCTTTTTGTTTCGCATCACAGCAAAAAAGTCATCTACTCCCGCTAGAGCAAACATCGAGGATGCGCTACAATGCCGTGGTAGTCCCATCAGCATTCTGAAACCGTTATTATATTGAACACGCAGGGCGCTGAGTGCCTTCTGCGTATAGTTCACCCACAGACCACCCGTGTAGAAGGATTGACAGTAAGCCTTGAATAATGTAATTTTGGCTTCCTCACTACAACGGGCAAATCTGTGTGCCAACATGTTACATCTGGCAGCCAACGCCCTACGTTCTCGATCAATATCAATTTGATCTTTGAGATCACCCGTCAGGTAATGTCCTAGATATTTAAATTTATCTACCCTTTTCAGGGGCAACCCGTTCAGACTTATCTTTGGTTCGTAGGACATGCCCTTACCAGGGACCCCAAAGATCAAGAACTCGCTCTTGGCACAGTTGTACACAAGGCCGTGAGAACTTGTGTACTGTTCACAAGTTCGAAGCAACTCCGCAATTGAGCCCGCCGTTGGACCCAGGAGCACCATATCGTCGGCATAGCTTATGTTATTCACGCATATGCCGTCGACATGACACCCGACTGGTTTACTGCTGAGCGCAACAACCAGCTCGTTCACGTACAGATTGAAGAGTTTCGGCGAAGTCAAACCACCCTGCCTTACACCGCACTTCAATCTGTACGCATCCGAGAGAGCTCTTCCCCATCTCACATTATTTTGTTGGTTCATGTACCAACATTTCAAAATTTCTATCAAATTCCGAGGTACGCCCGCTTTCTCGAGCTTACCCCAAAGAACATCATAAACCACGAGGTCAAATGCCTTTGAGAGATCAAGAAAACAGGCGTACACCGGCGTCTGCCTTTTTGTGTAATATTGGACGGTCTGCTTAAGACACAGTATGGCACTTTCTGTGGAAAGCCCAGGTCTAAACCCAAACTGAGCGTCGTGCAGATCTAAATATTTGTCTAATTCATTGTCCAGCAGACCGTCCAAAACTTTTGCAACAACTGTGGCCAGTGATATAGGACGGTAGTTAGCGTGATTAGCTATATCACCAGTTCTATTTTTCAGTATCGGTACGACTATGGTTTTAAGCATTTCCGACGGCAAATACGAGTGTCTCATAAGAACATAGCCAACACTCCGGGAAGATGTTCTCCTGCATATTTCAAGTGCTCAATGCTGAGAGCGTCGTGACCTGGAGATTTACCTCTTGACATTTTTCTTATTACTGTTTTGGTTTTCAAGAAAATTCAAGTCAAAATCAAAGTCGAAGTCAAAATTCAAGAGAAAAAAGGCTGTAGTCTGGCCAACCTGGGTCTATACATGCGGCTTATGGACTTTAAACGTTTTCCGAGGGTTATGAGTCGTCTCCGATATGCAGGTTTCAACATGTTGTTTCATTCCTTCATCTAAACCGAGAAATAAAAGTCGCAGGTATCTGTCTCCCCAGAGATTTTGAACCTCATAAAACTAAAACCTCGTAAAAGACATCTGGAACATTCTCCGTAATGAGTTTGTAATCAGAGGTAATGAGTATTGTTGATTCAAAACTACCACTATCCGTGTACTTAATCGAGTTCTTTAAGAAAAACAAACAGAACGTTTTCATAGAATTTCACAGATAAGAAATGCATACATACATAATTATCTTATTTTATTAGCTTTACCTACATCTAAAATCTTAATTAACTAATGTGTTAACTGACTTATAATTGTTGACTTATAACTGTTATAACTGACTTATGTGTTAACTGACTTATAAAAACAATATTTGACAATCTCGGTTATTAAAATTATAGACGTTTGTACAGGAAGTCCCGGATTCGATTCCCGGTAGGATCAAATTTCAAAATTATATAACAATAACGCACACACTCAACATAGCCCCGCAATAGGGAAAACCTGCGTCGCGGGTGCCATGGAGACATATATGTATAGACAACCACAAATTACACCCAAACTCACGAGAGAAATAAATGTAGGCCATACAAATATTCCTCCCGGCCCAGGAATCGAGCGTCAGGGGTCCCCCTGCGTGGCATAATAACCGTTCCGCCGCGGAGGCAGTTAAAATAATTGTTCATGGTAGAGCTCTCGAAGTTATCTTTACTCATAACATAGGGGCCGTTCATTAATTTGAGATCAAGTAGTTGGCCTGATAAGGAAAACCCTCTAAAACTGTTTTCCGAAAAGTGAACAAAATTATCAAACCAATTAATGATATCAAATCGCAATTCAAACAATGTCGATTAGTATATTATCGATTAAACTGTCGCACGCGCATACGTCGCGTGTCACAGTAGCCGAAGGTCAATGAACAGGCTCTGACTCAGTGGCTTGACTATCGCGCGATTTGTTGCGTAACGTTTGCTGGTTCTTTCGGTTTTTGGCAAAATTCTCTTTATTTTACAATGAGGATTCCTGATTGTTTGATAATTGTCATCAACATACTTCGAACCTCCGGTGAAAGTCACTCTTTGATTTGAGAGCTACTGCGCACGTTCGAAGAGCTTTGAGAGAGCGCCATGCATCCTTCTTCTACCTTCTTTGGAACATGAAGGACTACATAATGTGTGTTAGTTTTTTCCTTAAACATTTTCAATTTGCTTTTAAAATGGTTTGGCATTATTAAGCGTACCCTTGACTTATTAGAGCCACACGTGACGTCAAAAGTGTTTCGTCACATTACAGTCATAAAAATATTACGAACTACATGAAACCAATGACGTGTATGTGAAATTTTATAACTTATTTATTTATTTTACAAGGCTTATCAACTAAATACGTTAAATATATAAACGAATCATTTGAGAGTATTAAAATAAAAATCAATATAATCTATGTTTCATTTCATTTAGTATGTATATTATCACACTTGAAATCGATGCATTGGCTAAGCCACGGAAGAAAGTGGTCTGTAGGCTAAACTCTGCCGCTTATTTGTAAAGCAGATTCCCCTGAGAAGAATAAGCAAGAAACTCTAGGGGTCGCTCTTTGTAAATAAACATTTGTGCACATTTATCATTTACAATATTTATTTCAAACATCATAGACCGAGACTGGCTGCAAGAGCTAAACGGGTTACTACCACGGATTTTCGTCATCCAAGTACGCAGAAGGTGTATAATATTTTTGTTTCACTATAGTTTTAAACCTCGTGAATGGCAAATTGTGTATATCAACCAGAATCTTGTTATAGAAGCGTATACATTGCCCCTTAAATGAATTTGTCACCTTGTGAAGACGACTATCAAGAACAGCTAGTTTATTTTTATTCCTCGAATTAATGTTATGTCTGTCACTATTTTTCATAAAGAGATTACTATTCCTCTTAACATAAATTACATTTTCATAGATGCACTATGACGCTAGTGTAAAAATATTAACTTAAATGCAATACTATGCATGCTTGCATACATGAAGATATTAGTTTGAAAGTAACGATAGTATGACCGGTTTGTCTATCATATATGTATAGACTATACCTAGAATATAATTAGATTACTTAAATCAAATTTGCATTCAATAATTTGATACCTGCATATAGCAAAAACAGAGAAAATCACCCAAAACAAAACACCGGACTATAAACAGTTAAATTCACTAGCAAAATATTTCTGAATGACATTCCTAAAACCGTGATATTTATCACAAAATATGTCCTATTCACAATTTTGGAAGTTTTCATTGTAACTTCTCATAGTGGTGCAAAGCAGAGACATACTACCCATAATTGGCCGGTACCTATTTTTAAGTTTATTTGGGCAGGAGAGACGGACAATCTACATCATGATTTAGTAATATATACAACTTTTTTATTAAAAAAAAAGGACCAAAAAAGTTTATGGAATTACATGTAAGTACTTGCCAAGTTTTGAAATCGGATTTATCCCCTGGTTTTCCACCCTTAGAGGCGGAATATATTCTTCAAATTTAAATGGGATCAATTCTGATGTACCCTCTTTTCAACAAAAAAGAATCGCCAAAATTGGTTGACAAATTTTTATCGCGTAACATACATACAAAAAAAAGTACATTCGAATTGAGAACCTCCTCCTTCTTTTAAAGTCGTTTAAAAATTGAGAGCTGACTCTAGTATATAAGCATAAAAAAGTTACCGATTAGTTTCATTCGTAGAATCATGAAAACTGTCTCCTTCTTTGTCTGATCGTATCGATAGCATACACTATAATGACATACAGGGTAAGAATGGTACGTGGTGCGGGGAGACTCCTTTCGTGTATCCGACTGGTTTCTGAAAAGTTGTCATTTTGCAGATGCAGGTAGCCTTATTGCACCAATGATGAGAAGTCTTTTGCAGAATTTTTTCACGATCCTACTTAGCTTTATTTTATGAGAACTACGATACTTTTCACTTTTTCAACACTACATATTAGCGATGTAACAGACCTCTGCTTTGCTTTCGCAACTGCCGCACGTTTTTCACATCTATTTCCGTTTCTGCTTCCGCAGCTTTTATAACCGAACTTTAATCGGAAGTTTACAACTTTGGCGGCAAATCAGGTGCGATTTGCTAGGCGGCGAAGTGCGCGTTTTTTAGCAGTTTTATGTTAAGTGTGTCAATGTCAATATCTTAGAGATATTATAGTGTTTACTCTTCCGCTTCGTCATCCGCTTCCGTTTCCGCTAAGATTTACTTTTAATATCTATTTTCGTAACGACACTTCCGTTGCATCACTACTACATATCAATAAACAAAAAGAACACGGCTTTTAAACTGAGACAATAGTATAAAAGTTAACAGAAGAATATGAAAATGAAATAAAGCGTAAAATGTTACAACGATAAACTGCTGCAGCAACGTCACCATCTCGTAACCGTTTCGCGTGTGAGCGTGTGACAAATTGACCCCGCAAAGTCGACCAACTGTTGTGTCAGTGACTCAATTTTTTCATACAAAAGGCACATTTGTTACTCATTAGTGAGGTGGTTCTCAGTTCAGAGATCGGTTATATCACAGTGGGAGAACGATCGCTTTTCAATCGTGGGGTCAACAGTTCAAATCCCTGTGGTGGCAAGAGCCGACGTCTTTAATTTCTAAGTTACATACATTTGCGAAAGATTAGTAGCACTACCGGTCGCTAATCATCGTCATCTCAGCCCATTAACACCTACTGCTGGGTATAAGCCTCCTCTTTTCCACAACAGCTCAATCGGTTCTGTGCAATTCTCATCCAAAGTTTTCCGGCCACCCCGACCTTCTACTTGAACCTAATGGGTTGATAGTGATGATGAACACAGATATAAACTTCGTTATTTTCCATTCAGGTTTGTTTAATTGTTTGATAGCCGTGAGCGACTATGATACCACTAAAAAGCCTAAACGTTGGCTTGTTAACAAAACAAATATACGCGATTTAGATCCGAATAACAATGCGCCTGGTGGTAAGCGACATGCCTACCCATAACAGTTGCAGTTCCACTCAAGCATTAAGCCCTAAGACCTAAGCGGCACTGGAAATCCAGTAATCTGAACTCACATTACATAGCGTGCAGCACTCTGTTGCTACTCAACAACTCATCAATCGTGAACTAATTATTCTAGGTCGATGCATCTAGAAGTAAAATATACTAATGATATGATCACGTGCGTTGACGGTAAACAGAAACATGGTTATGATAACTGCCTGTCATTACTTTGAAGACGTTCGATTCGAGGTCCCCAACCCGGACTGGACTTGCGTGGCGGTCTTTGCTCTTAATCCGCTCTTTGTAAATGACCCGTGACCGACAATAGTAAGTCTATTGTTTGAGGCTGGCAGTACTAGAGCAGCGGATGTAAAAACATGACATTCGTGGTTGAATCTCAATTGAACTGGATGCTTATAAGCAATAACGTGTCAAGTCATTGGTTGATGGAAATAGTTTTGCGAAAATGGTACCTAACGTTTTTTTGAT